CATTAAATTCCAGTGAAATATATTTATGTTTGTGGTTGTAATGTGACAAAATATGGAAAAGTTCAAGGGGTATGAATACTTTTGCAAACCACTGTATTTGCTTATAGTTTTAACAGGGTGAAAGCAATGTTAGGACAAGATTTCACACTTTTTAAACCTCAAACATCTATTTTGTTTTCTTCTTCTGTGTCACTGATATTTAAATAATAAACAGCCATTTTTTAAGTTTGTGGAGACTAAACTGGTGAAGATAATATAATTTTCAATTGTTAAAAAGCATGTATCTGTATTGTTCTTCTCTCTAGTCCACACTGCAGGTCCGGAATGTGACAGTGACTGGATACAGTACCCTGGTTTGTCTCTTCACACCTGACACCTCATACACCATGAGGCTTCGCAATCGTTACCTGGGCCTGGCCAGCCCATGGAGCCAATGGAGCAATGCACTGCAAGGAAGGACATCAGAGGCTGGTGAGCAGAAACAAAATCTTTAAACAGCTGAAAATAATGAAATCAATGTGAACGTATAGCGACGCTTCTTCTCAGAAGAGGACAGAAACACAGAAATGAAAGGAGTGTTTAGTTCTACTTACAATCTTGCAGATCTCACAAAACGTCCTGCTTCTTTAGAAGATGAGTGAATAGAGTTGGCAAAAAAGCTGAGTAACTTCTTTAATCTGCAGCTAATTTTGTCTATGTTCAGTGTTTTCACATGTCACATCATATTTTGTTCTCTTCACAACCCTTTTTATCCACTTTTGTGTAAGTTGTATTAGCTCAGATTGGAATTAGTAATGTTCTTTTCAATAGTTATTAATAACTAACACATTTTTAGTTGTGACATCAGTCAAGAAATAAAAAATATGGGGAAAAGGGCAGTACTCTTCCTCCTTGTTAGACTGGTTGTCATTTTTGAGAAAGACTTGTTTCATAAGCTTGAAAAAAGGGGGCCTTTATTAAGCTAGCCATTAGCTTAGCCTGGATGAAAACTTTTGCCCTTTTCTCTAAACTCTCTATGCTTTATGACCGATGCCACGGCTGATAAGGTACTTTACATTTGTTATGGCAAGCTCCACTTGCTGACATGACTCCCTTAAAAATGACACAATTTAAAACCAGAAAAACAGATGCAACGCTCCCTCCAGTTTGGTGACGACTGATTTACTGGTCAGTCTACGTTCCAACCCTCACCTGCGGTCAGGAGATATGGATCATGGCCAAAAGCACCAGATCCAAGCAGCTGAGATGAGCTGCACCTCAGGGTGGCTGCACTTAGCTTTAGAGATAAGCTCTGTCATCTGTGCAGATCTCAAACTGCAGCAGCTTCAAAACTTTACCGAGTCAGTGCTACAGTCTCAAAGTGATGTCATGGTGGTGAAGTGGCATCAAAGTGCCTCCTGAGGAGTGCCCAACCATAATCATAATATTAAAAAATGAAAAATATGTTCTTGTTTGAATGATCTTTGTGATTAAATGTTACTGTCAAGTTTTCCTTTGTGTTTCAAACATTGCTTTGGGAAGCAATTAGGGCTGTATTTGTGCTTTCGCTGCGAGTGGAAAGTGTCGTAATGTTCCTGATCAACATGCTCAGATCCCTCTAATTGCTTCACTAAATCTGATTTGTGTTTCAATTCAACAGCTCCGTCTGCAGCACCGGCTCTCTGGAGGCAGGTCAGACGTGCCGACAGGTTTGGATGGCGGCTGGTTTCTCTGCTTTGGAAGGTGTGTGTGTGTTTGAAACTGTGTGTTGAGGTGTTGAATACTCTTCTCTGCTTCATTTGTTTCTCTGTGCCTCCTCACTTTGTGCTTGAGAGATGCAGTGTAATAATCTTTAGATGCCATGAGTTCTCAATCCTTCCTTTTAGATCTTTCTGAAAATCCCTCATTAATTGCTTTATTTTTTTGGCACTTCAGTAGAAAAAAGAACTGAATATTAATAATAGTTTCTTAATTTCTTCATCATCAGTGACTTTTTTTTTTTGTTTGGGCAGAACCC